GCTTTGTATTAGCTTAGAAAATTCTTGGCAAAAAACATGATTAGTAGAACCAAATATTATATCATCAACATAAATTTGAACTACTAATAAATATTTACCTTTATGCTTTAAAAACAATGTAGTGCCAACTTCCATTTTGAAAATCCTTTTTCAATTAAAAATGTTTGACAATCTTTCATACCAAGCTCTAGGAGCTTGTTTTAAACCATAAAGTGTTTTTGTCAATTTAAAAACATGATCCGGAAATTTTGAATCTTCAAAACCTGGAGGTTGTTCCACATACATTTCTTCTTTTATAAAACCATTTAAAAATGCACTTTTAACATCCATTTGATATAATTTAAATTCATTAAAACATGCAAATGCTAATAACATTCTAATTGCTTCCATCCTAGCTACGGGAGCGTATGTTTCATCATAGTCTATGCCCTCTTCTTGAGTATACCCTTGAGCAACAAGTCTAGCATTGTTTCTCACTATATTACCACTCTCATCAAGTTTATTCCTAAATACCCATCTAGTACCTACAGTAGATTTATTACTAGGACTTTCAACTAATGTTCATACTTTACTTCTCTCAAATTGATTTAACTCTTCTTGCATAGCCATATTCCAATGTTCATCATTTAATGCTTCTTTAATATTCTTAGGATCTATGCATGAGATAAATGCAACATAATTACAAATATTTCTAAGAGAAGATCGAGTTGTTACCCCTTTGGATGGATCACCTATAATCTCACCATCCTTGACATAGTTGTACTCTCTTGGATAAGATACTTCCCTTTCTTCAATGGTTGGATTCTCGAGAGGATCATGAGTTTCCTCATCTTTCGTTTCTTCCTTTGATGATGATTCTCCAATGTCACGTCTAACGTCATTTGCTTGTACAATACCTACATCATCATTAACACAAGAATCCTTCCTCGGAAGGAGATTATCATCGAAAACAACATGTATAGACTCTTCTACAACTAAAATTCTTTTATTAAATACTCGATAAGCTTTAGAATTTAAGGAATAACCTAGAAAAATCCCTTCATCACTTTTAGCATCAAATTTGCCAATGTTTTCTTTACCGTTGTTTAAAACAAAACATTTACATCCAAAAGGATGAAAATAGCTAATGTTAGGCTTTTTATTTTTGAAAATTTCATATGGAGTTTTCTTTAAAATTGGCTTAATCATTACTCGATTTACAACATAACAAGCGGTATTTATGGCTTCCGGCCAAAAATATTTTGGCAAATTATTTTCACAAAGCATGGTTCTAGCCATTTCTTCTAAAGTTCGATTTTTCCTCTTAACAACTCCATTTTGTTGAGGGGTTCTAGGTGCTGAAAAATTATGGATAATACCATTAGAATTACAAAACTCATTAAATCCAAGATTTTCAAATTCAGTGCAATGATCACTTCTAACACTAGTGATAGAGTAACATTTTTCGTTTTGGATTACTTTTGAAAATGTGATGAAATTTTCTAATGCTTCATCTTTAGTACTTAAGAATAGAACCCAAGTATATCTAGAATCACTTTCATCTTTTGTGGAATTGAGAGCAACTCTAATATTTTTCTTCTTCTCCTTATCCTTTGGTGTCTCGTCAATCTTATCGAGGTCCACTTTATCTTCAAGCATCATTTCATGAGTGAGAAGGAAACCGATTAGTTCTTCAAGAGTTAAGGACGTTAGGTCCTTAGACTCGATGATTGCCGTCTTCTTTGATTGCTACGATTTTAGAAGGGAGTAGACTAACTTCCTCACAAGCTTTTCATTTAAAATTATCTCTCCATATGATTTGAGACCATTGACAATCGTTGAAAATCTATTCGTCATAGCTTTTATATCTTCATTTGGTTTTATCCTAAAATTTTCATAGCTATGCGTTAGAATACTAATTTTAGATTTTTTTACCTCATCGGTACCTTCATGAGTGACTTGAAGTTTATCCCATATTTATTTGGCGGTTGTACAAGATGAAACTCTTCCGTATTCATCTGGTCAAAGAGCACAAAATATGATATGAATGACTTTGGAGTTGAGCTAGAACATTATTGTCTCTCCTTCACTCCACAATCTTGGATGAGTGAGAGGCTTGATGTATCATTCTTCTATGGCATTCCATGCTCCCATGTCACTTACTTGAATGAAGTACATCATCCTATTTTTCCAATAGGCATAGATAGCCCCATTGAAGAAATGAGGCTTGTTGACGGGAATCGAATCGAGACCGGAGTCGAAGTTTGAAATAGAGGCCATTGATAACTTTGATTATCGATGTAACTCTTCCTGAATCGACTCAAGAGGCGATTAAACCTTCAAATGAGTTAGGCTCTGATACCAATTTTTGAGTTAATCGATCGATGGAATCGACCAAGAGGGGGTGAATTGGCAATAAAAATTTTGGTGGAAGTTTTTTGCAGAAAATTGAAAGTAATTTCACAGCGATTTACAGTGGTTCAACTTTGTCAACCAAAGTCTACGTCCACTACCTTAGCTATCTAGGCTAAGGATTTTCCAACAAATTCACTAATTTGTTCTTTCTTTTGAGGCCAAAGAGATAACCTTACAATTCCCTCAAAAATATACCCCAATTCTTGAGAACACTCTTTTCTCAAAGAGAAGATTACAAATTTGCAAACTTATAAGAAAAACCTCACAAGGCAAATATGTTTGCACAATTCTAGAACAAAGAAAGAACACTCAAGAATAAATACAATTGAGCACAATAAGTGTTCTTGAAAGTAAAATGAATATTGAATGAAAAATAGACTTGAAATGCTCAAACTTGAGGTTTGATGCTTTCTCTTTGATTCTCTCTTGATTCTAGTTGCTTGATGTTTCTTGTTATTGATCAATGGCTTCTAAGCTTGTTTAAATACACCTTGAATCACTTCTGAACGTTGGGGATCATTAATGAAGTTATTGGAGCCATTTAAGTGTGAAAACAATTAATATTTCTACTTGGAGCGTGGGGGGAATCGGTTCACCCTCATAAGGAATCGGTTCCCTAAGTGTAAAATTCAAATATATCGACCGTTTATCAGGGGGGAATCGGTACCCCTTGAGGGGGAATCGGTTCCCTCCGAGCATACTGGAATTTCTCGGAGTCAAACCATTCAGGGGGAATCGGTACCCCCTTGGGGGGGAATCGGTTCCCTCTGGACAAACTATAATTTTTTGACTTTGAAATAGTTCGAAATATTTTTTAAAATCGTTTTGAAATTATTTTAAGATTAAAACTTAATTTTACACTTGAGTAAGGATTAAAATGATATTTGAAAGATTTGAAGTAATATTTTGATATTTGAATAATTATATCGAATATACTTAGAAAATCTTTTTGGAAAATCTTAAAATTCATTTAACTTAATTTGTTATATCGAAATATCAAAATGTTTTCAGCACACAGTGATTCATAGAATCCGGTGACCCCACCACCTTGACGGCCGCCGTTGATTGACTGGCGGCAAAATAAAAAAAAAATTACCATTCAAAAGCCCTTTTTACCCCGTCACGAAAATCACCATAGTTTTCTAAGATTCGCCTCAGGGAGCTGTAGATCTAGAAAAGAAGATTCAAACACCTCCTCCTCCAGTCATCGGCGGGTTGTTTTTTCAAACCGAAAACAAAGAAGAGCAATATGCATGCAAGAATCGCATGAGGTAAAAAAAGTGTACCTTTTATTTCTTTCGAATCGATATAATAGATGCTTCGATTTCACTATTTTTCTCGCAATTTTTTGTATGTACTTCGTGAGTAATCTAGTGCGTAACTCTTTATGGATTTTTTGTGTACTGTTGATCCCCCTTGGTTCGATGATGGTGGGTATTTATACCCACCACTGACGCTCGTTATCTCCGATTAGCACGGTAACAAACTCATCGTTGGCCAGGGGTTTCGGGATGGGTCAGTCCCGATTCCCTTGGCCGGAAATCTCGACCGTTTGTGATGTCCCTTGACTGGCTCTCGATCTCCCTATTTCCCTCCTATGCGGCGTCTGACCGAAACAATGGGAACCCTAGTTTCCCTTTTAGGCCTGATTGGGTCTGCTGGGTCAGACTACCCGGTTGGGCCCCTGGACTTGGACTGAATTCTTGGACCCTGAACAGAAAATAAAAAAATAAATAAATAAGAAATAATAATAATAAATAATATATTATATATAAAATATTTTTAAAAAATATATAAAATATTTTTAAAAAATATGTAAAATATTTTAAAAAATATTTTAAAAAACTATATATTATATATTTAAAAAAATGTTTTCAAAATTATATATTATATAGTTTTAAAAAATGTTTTAAAACTATATATTATAAATTTTCAAAAATATTTTTTTAAACTATATATTATATAGTTTTCAAAAATGTTTTAAAACTATATATTATATAAATGTTTTAAAAATGATTTCAAAACTATATATTATATATATTTTCAAAATATTTTCAAAAACTATATTATATATATATATATATTTAAATGTTTTCAAAAATCATATATTATATATATTTCCAAAAAGCTTTCCAAAAATTATATATATATATATATATATTTAAAAACCGTTTTCAAAACTATATATACCATATGTATTTCAAAAATATTTGCAAACTATATATATATAAATAAAATCAGACGAAAATGGGTATCTACAAGTAGCATGGGATTGAAATTGAATTTTACTTTCTACTAGAGTTAAGAAATAAAACCTCTAATACAAAACACGAGAATCGAGTCAGAAAAAAGACGGATACTCATTGAAACAAATAACTTTTTGGAACTTCAAATTCGCACTGAACCAAATTGGGTAATAAAAGAAATTCTTTCCACAACCTATAGATCAAGGTACATTTTAGATCGACAGCCAAGTTCGAATTATGCTAATTTTTCCCAATTGTATAACCAATCAACAACAATAAATTTCACAATTGCCTACAAAAACGAATCGAATAAGAACAGCACTTAAAAAAAATAGAAAATTTAGGGGAAGAGATATTTACATGAAGAAGGAAGCGGTGACAACAAGACCAATGGAGAGCAGTACGACGGCTAGGGTTGGGTACCATTCAATTGGCACTGGACTACTCAATGCTTTTGCAGCAGAAGCCTGAAACAAAATCATTCAATCAAATTCATAGAAACGTAATATAAAATAAACCCTACAAATGCTCTGAACTCAATTGAGATTGATTTGCCATCGATCTTTGCCTCTTCGCTTCGGACTATGAAACGTTGATCCAAGAGAAATTATTTAGTTTTATACGAGACTGAAAAAACCACTGTATTCGCCAATATAATGTCACGTGGGATTCGCTACAGCATGGCGTATGATAATATTTGTGTTCTCCGGCCTGGGCCATTTTTGGGATTTTCTGAGGCTTAGGCCCAGAGAAGGTTTAGTCTGGGGGGCTTTCTCAACCTTTCAGACATCAAAGCATAAGATTGTAGGATCTAAATTTTAGACCTTCTAAAACTTATATAATATAAATTAGGGTAAAGTACAGAAATGGTTCCTCCACTATATGGTACTACTTTATTAAGTCCTTCGATTATTAAAAGATACAAAATGATCATCTGATTATAGAATATTACTTTATTAAGTTCATCGGTTATTAAAAGTTACAAAATGGTCACTCGACTATTCATTATGTGTTAGACTCGTCTTTTTTAGTTCAAAAATTGATAATTGTTTAAGTTAGATGTTAACATGATGACTGGAATATGATTGTCGTTTAAGATTCTAGGATCAGATTTTATCATATCACAGTCAGGAAGTTAACATTTAGCTTGGAATATCATCATTTTTTTAATGGAAATGCACAAGTTTGGAACATAACGAATAGTCAGGTGACTATTTTGTAACTTTTAATAGTCGGGTGACTATTTTGTAACTTTTAATAGTCGGATGACCATTTGTGTGCTTAACCCTATAAATTATTAACATATAAATTTATATAAACATAAAGTATTTTATATGTTCTTATAACATGATAAAATATACGGAAACAATGAAGTTACTTTGATCTAGTTGGTACCCTTAGCTTTCTTCTGCTTGGCTACTTCTCATGATTCCCATATATCATTTCCGAAAAGTTTTTTTTTTTGGGAAAAAAAAACCAAAGCTGATTGATGTAACGTGGACTTAACAATTTCTTCATGCAATAATGTGTGACTAAAATTTCAAATCTGATTCTTCTAAACTTTTGTTTATTTTCTTACTTTTTGACCGACCATAAGATTAATTTTAGAGTAATTATATTAGAGGCCATTTTTTTTATTTTTTTATTTAATTTTGAAAAATATGTTTTAATTATTTATCGTAATAAAACAATCACTTGAATATTTTAGAGTCTAAACAATTTAAACAATAAAAGGATATCGTTTTTTTTATCACTGTCTAATAATTTTGCTGACCGCATTTTACAACATAATGCTAATATAAACACATTTTAAATTCATATTTTAGAAAAAAATTAATATATTTTTTTAATAACATGGGTAAGTACAAGACATTATATGTTCAAAGATAACTATTATCTTTTTGACATTGAATACTCTCACTCCTGATATCTATGGTGCTCGAGCTTATATCCTTAAAAAATAACAACAATTCTTTTATTACGCAGATCACTTAGTTCGTTGAAAAAAAAGATTGTGCAAAAACAATAGGCATACACACATGACTCACATTTTCAACATTACATCTGTCTTCACTGTAGAATTTGATTATATTTCTTCCTGTCCCATCCATGGCAACTTGCAATCACATTGAAGAATCTTTTGAAATTGATTTCTTTTAATTTTTGCGCGCACACACACATATGCTTAAGCTATATGTCAAGAATCAAGGGCGCCTCCCACAATGGGAATATGATGCTTTACTTCTAGCATTTGTTATTATTTATTTGTCACGTAATATGTGGTAAAATATTATATAATTTTTTTTCTTGGGAAAAGAATAGTATTGGGAATAAGCTTTTAGGACAGTCCTTGTAATGAGAATATTTGTTGGGTCATATCCTAACAATATATATATATATATATATATATATATATATATATATTCCTTCGAATCAGATTAGATTTGTTTGTTTTGTATGAGGCCAAAAATGACAGCATTGTCAGATTGCATCTTCTATCGCACACAAACATTTGCATATAAAATATATACATGCTATCAGAAAAAGCAGATATTCCCTGCTGGATTCAAGGTTGATGAGTGATACAGTGAAAATTATTCTCATATAGATAGATAGATAGATAATAAGAGCCAATGACTCTGATAGTTCACCTTAAGTGATTTAGAAGAAGAAAGAATAAAAAAAGTCCTCACTTTGTTCACCTACGATTTAAAAGAGTATCTTTTTATTGAAAATTTGGAGGAAATGCCTCAACAATGATGGGGTTGTGAGGAAACAATGACTTGGCAATGGTGAAAAAAAAAATGCAAGTACAATGACAGTGTACAACTACGAATGATAATCTCATGTGAATTTTTCTGCTGTGAGATTACAGTTAGACCACATCCATGTGTGTATATATATACATGTTAACTTCGATCAATAAAAAGAATTTTAGTTATCATCTAATATTGTTAATCATTAAGATTATTTGGTTCGTACTTGTATATATATATATACATGGTACAACTAAGAATGATGATCTTAAGTGAATTTTTCCATTGTGAAAATTACAGTTAGACCACGTACATAAATGTATATATATATATATAGATTGATAAATACATATGCATGTTAGCTTCAATCAATAGAAAGACTTTTAGTTATCATCCTATACTGCTGAGGACGGTGAGCGAATATATTTTTAGGCACAGCTGAGCTCTGACAAAGGGCAATTTATGCTGGGTAATTAATTAACAACATATTTAAGAAAGTGCTTTATTGTTTGAACCTTTTCCCGTGCACGTATGGGTCCGATATGATTGCTGCATGTGACCCATCACAGCGGACATAGATTTTGGCCGTGCAAAAGGGCGGATTTCGGATCAGTTCAATGGGTACAATCACAGTTTTTTAAAAACCTAGTAATAAATAAATTTAATAAAATTATCTGAACTAAAATTAGATTTGCTGGTAATCAGAAACAAGTTGATGAATTAATCAACCGATCATGTTTATCTCTTCTGATATAGTTGGATAATTATAAGAGAAAATAACATCAGTGACCAAAAATGCCTTATAATATACGATTTTAACCAACTTTTTTTGGATTTGCCAAAATGACCAACTAAATCGCAATGCGATCGATAATTCGCAACGTGATCTCCGGTATCGCAAATCAGTTTCCAGATTCGCAACGCGATTCTGACTATCGCATTGCGATTTCCCAAATTCGCGTTACGATTTTCCTAATTCGCAATGCGAATACGTAAATCGCAACGCGAATTTGGAAAATCGCAATGCGATTACGTAAATCGCAATTCGAATACGTAAATCGCAATGCGAATCTGACTATCGCAATGCGATTTACATAGCGCCATTCGTATTAACGCGTATTTTTTTTTTCAAATTCCAAACACGAATATATTAATATATCGGAACACTGAACCGTCCACATTATATCCCGTAATCGCAACTCATAACCTAAAACCCTAAATCACAACTCAGTCTCATCTCCATCTCTCACTCTCTAAGGCGACATCCGTCCCCATCTCCGACGAAATCAGTCCCCACGACGATATCAGTCTCCATCTCCGACGAAATCATTCACGGTCAGAAATGGAAAATCAACTAAATCAACCACCGAGGGTTAGTTTTTTTAATTATTTTTATTTTGAAATTTTTGCATTATTATTAGGTTTTTCATATTGAAATTGATGATAAGTTTATTGGTGTTTTCAATAATAGATTAACCATTTCACTTAGATTGCTTATTATATTCATTCGATTGCTGCCAATATTGCTAAATTGTTTAGTCTTTAACCCTTTGAAGTTAGTATTTGTCTTTGTTTTGTCTTTTGGTTGAAGTAATGCAATCCATTCAAGTTTCTTTCAATTTTAGTATTTGAAACCGAGAATGACTATCGCAATGCGATTATGTCGTTGCGATTTTCATTTCGCGTTGCGATTCTTGCGTTGCGATAGTCAAATTCGCATTGCGATTTTAATTTTCGTGTTGCGATTTAAAGTTTCAGAAACTATTATTATTCTGCAAATTGAAACTTGAATGAATTGCATTACTTCAACCAAAAAACAAATACTAAATTCACAGTGTTGCAAATTTAAGTTTGAAGAATAAACTACTACTCTTTATGTTTATTGTTCATATCTTCACAGTGTAGTTTTTGGTATATCTAAATTGGTATGTTTATTGTTTTTGCAGAACTTTTATTCGGCTCAATTGACCTTAAGAAATAAAGTAAGCCTGGCCAAAACAATTGCGTCGAAGCTTTCACCTGCACAAAGAAAAATATTTGAGGATACTTGCTTCGGGCCATGGCTGAAAGTACAACATCCGGGTGGAGATGCTATGTTGACCCATCTGTTTCTTCAAACCATGACTAGCGATCTACCAGAGACTATACAACGTCGTGGTGAAGAGATATGGTTTGATTTTCCACCGGCGTAGACGTGTTTTGGGCGGGAGGAGTTTTGCTTAATCACCGGTCTACGCTTCGGACACGATGATGTAGATCGGTACACTAGACATATTACCCGCCTATCATGATTTTCCCGGGTTTTTCCTGAGCTGTCAACGGAGAAGTCGAATTTACACGTGGAAGACTTGACGAGATTATTGAATAAGAAAGATGGTTTTACTCGGATGGATGACGTCGATGTTGTCCGAGTATGCCTTCTAATACTTTTGCAAGCCGGCTTTTTAGGCAGAGAGGCCCGACAACCTATTCCTAATGATCTAATTAAATTTGTAGAGGACCTAAATGTATGGAACCTGTTTCCGTGGGGTTAGTATCTATGGAGAGCTACATGGAATAAGTTGTCGTCTGCCTTTAATGATCGGAAAGGTTTGTGTGGCGATGGTTCCAAATACACTTTGTCAGGCTTTATTTGGGCCTTTAAGGTAATAATTTTTATATAATGTTTCCAAAATTATAATTAATTCTTTAACAATTACTAATGTTTGTTATTATATTGTTTGTAGATTTGGATATTTGAGGCCTTTCCCGTCATGCATACATATGCATTAAAAACTTCTAATGATATTCCTAGGGCTATTTCCTAGAAGAGGAAACGGTCCTTGCAGCAATGGGAAGATTTACTACCGTATACTACAATAAATAATGTAAGTTAACACAAATACTACCATATGTTTATAAACAAGTTATTACTAGTACACGTTTAACTTTGTTTGAGCTTTTATATTGTTAGGAGGCCAACACTCCATTACAGAGGCTGACACCCACGGAAGCTGAGCTTGCCACTGATAGGTGGCAAGCTAGTAAGCTTTTTTTTTGATGGCACGGATGATGAGCAACCACCACTTCGAGAGCCATCACCTCACCCAGAGCCATCACCTGATCGACCCGAATATATATCTCCACAACGAGAGTCATCACCTATTCTGTCACATCATCGAGCCTCTTCTCCACCATCACCTCATGATAGGAGACCGACAAAGTCTTGCGTGATGAGTTAGGGGAGTTACGTAATGAGGTCAATGCCTTGCGTGAGGAGGTCGGTACTTTACGCGATGACAATGGTGCATGGCGTGTTGAGGTGTCTACTTTACGTGGTGAGGTAGCAGCTCTACGTGAGATTGTAGCATTGTTGCAGAACGAGGTTCATACTCTATGCAACGAGGTAAGTTTAATATTTTTCATATTTAACTTGATGATAAATTTACTCGTAATTTCACTTAGATTGCTTAGTAAATTCATTCGGTTGCTGCCAATACTGTTTAACTGTTTATTCTTTAACCATGTGAAGTTAGTATTTATTTTTTGTTGTCTTTTGGTTGAAGTAATGCAATCCATTCAAGTTTCAATTTGCAGAAGAAGAATAGTTTACTATCGAAATGCGAAAATGACTATCGCAACGCGAAAATGACTATCGCAACGAGAGAATCGCAATGCGAAAATGACTATCGCAATGCAAAAATGACTATCGCAATGCGAATTTGACTATCGCAATGAAAGAATCGCAATGCGAAATGAAAATCGTATTGCGATTCTCTCGTTGCGATAGTCATTTTTGCGTTGCGATTTTGTTGTTGCGATTTTCATTTCGCATTGCGATTCTCTCATTGCGATAGTCATTTTCGCATTGCGATTTTAAGTTTCAGATTCTATTCTTCTTCTGCAAATTGAAACTTGAATGAATTGCATTACTTCAACCAAAAGACAAATACTAACTTCACAGTGTTGAAAATTTAAGTTTCAAGAATAAACTACTACTCTTTATGTTGTCATTGAACCTGCACTAAACCTATATGTTGTCCTTTTAAATGTTTATATAAGTGCTTACTTCTGGAATGTTATCTGATGCATTTTGTGAACAATGATATAATAATGATTTGGGTGAATATCGTGCAAGTTAGAAATATATTTGTCTTTGTTTTCACTGTTTAATATCATGTCTATTTATTTACTGATTTATGTATTAATTTATTTTTAGCGGCCCGCTAAGGTGGATGCTTTACATTGGGTTTTTTATTGCAAGACGGAGTTCACGCATCAGATGGCGTGCACGTGCCATTACGTCTCCGTTCACCCCAATAGTGCAAAGAATCCGTAAGAAAAAGCCCGACTCATCTGTCATCGTTCAAGAGGCC